ATAATAAATTAATATATATAGTTGTTATTGATATATGCAATAATTTTATTCCCTTTATTGTGTTTTCTTATCTGTTATTTCATCCTAGTATTTATATGTAATTTGAATGTATCATAGACAAATAATATAAAACATAATAAGGGCATTTTTTAATAATTTTGCAGAAATTAAAATATATTAAAAAATATATATGTATTTATTTTTTTTTTCTACTATACAAATGTTATACAGGAAAAATATTTTTAATTCACTCACACAAATGTAAAAAAGTAAAAAATAATTTTTGTGCAGAAAAAAAAATAAAATTTCATTAAATAAATATTTTTCCTTATTTTGACAATACAGTAATTTTTACATTCCTTAGATATATTCTTGCAAAAGATTTATCCTAGTTCACATCAAATTAATTCCTTTAAAAAGAAAAATTATTAAATTTATGAATAAATGAAATAATTGTGAATTAATCAATTTTTTTCGTTTTTAAAAATGGTATAAAAGAGAATAAATATTTATTTAAATTGAATAATTCACTATTCTTATAATACCAGTTGAAAATCAATTCCATGGGCAATAGAGTGAATGAAAATACAACCAGAAAAAGAAAAAACGATTAAAATACCCCAATAAAAATATACATAAACCGAATTATAATGAGAAATGTTTGTATATGTTAATTCATCAATTTTTTATACAGTAATATGTATTGTCTTTATATTAATAATATTTTTTAATATATTTTAATTATCTATTTGTTTAAAATATGTTCATTATATACTATCTTTCGAGATTTTCTCTTAAATTCTTACTATGAGCACGAAATTATAATTTATATATACGGTACTACGTGCTTGGATAAAAATAACACAATCATTATTGCATTAAATGAAATTTAGCTTCCTTAATTAAATATAATTTTAATGTCAATTAAGTTATAATTCTTATTTATACAATTATTTATAATTTTTTTATTGAATTGTATCCTATATAAATTTCTTGTTTATATAATAATTTTTATTTAGTATTAAAATTTCTTTATTAGTGAATCCACATTCATTTTATATCCTTAAGGAAATAAATATTATCTATTTTATGATTTCATTCATGAAAAAAATTAATTCTTCATATGTGTAAAATATATATATATATGTATATAAGACCTGATATATTTTAAAAATATACTGGAAACATATTTTTAATATTGTATAAATGTAAAATATTAAATTTTTTTCTTGATATAAATATTTATTTGATGCAATCGTACTTAACATATATAATTAGGAATCGAAGTGTGAAATAATATAAAGAGAAAAAGATGCATAATTAAAATCAATGTTATGAAAATATTACTTACTTTTTATGAAAAATATACAAGGATAACTATAAAATTTGCAATGATTTTTAATTTTCTGTATTACTTTTAAGGTTGCTACGTTTTTATTTTATTCTTCCAACATTTTGCATCAAATTCTGCAGAATGTAGGATGTATACTCTGAAGAGGCATATGAAAATAACGGCATTATTAATTTATTCAATTTTCTCACATATATTTGAAATAATACAAGAACATTCCAAAGAAAAATTGTATTATTATTAAATATTGTAAATAATTTGATTATAATGTTAGTTGTATAACTAATCAGATTAATAATTTTAGAGCAGATATAATCTTATTTAAAGCTATAATTAGTCATAGTAAAAAAAATAAATTAACATAAATCATAAATTATCTGTCTAACGCATAAATATTTATTATAATTATAAAGTACTATTGATTAATCTAGTATATTCTTTGTATTTGCTTCATATTATTGTATTCATAAATATTATATTATCAATGTATAAAGAAAGTATCATTTTTACTTTACACAAACTATAATATCTATGAAGTAATTAAAATTTCTATAATACATATAGTGATCTATATTATTCCATATACTTTGTTACTTTTTTTAAATTGCATAAATTCTTATTCACACTTATTCAATCGCAGTAATATATTTTTGTAATTATTTTTTATAATAACGGGAAACATATGTTCAAAGTGAATCAATTTCATAATTAAATATTTTATTCATTTTGAAGACGTAATATAGAAGGTTCAAAAATTCCTACACGCAATAAAATAAGAAGAAATTTGAAAACGTAAACACGCATAAATTATTTAAAATGTTTATACCTAGAAATTAAAAATTAACATTATTATTAAACTATATAATATAAATTGTTTATTTTTATTAATTTAATTTAGGCACTTTATACATAATAGGGTGAGAAATAAAAACACATGTAGACAAAAATACCTAGTTTATTATGCAGATATATGTGTTTGCTAAAGAAGCTTTCAAAAAAAAAAAAATAATTAAAAAAATATAAGAGAGATATATCAATAATCATCAAAAATATTTACATAGGTGACTTTAAAATTATTCTATGATTAAAGGAAATACATTTATAAATAGAAACATTAGGAACTATATTTTTATGATTCTATAACAGTAACTTTAAACATAAAATGTGTGTATAACTTTCAGAACTAATAACGATTACCTTTATATATTTTGTTTTTCGTAGTTTTATTTATATTATAAAATATTTTTTTTATTAATTTTATACTAGAATACTCTTTATTGGTTGTATTACATACGTATTGAAAATAATTTTGTATAATAAAATAAAATTATACAGCTCATACATATATGTATATACACAACGATCGTTAAAAATAATAATTTCTACCTAAAATAGTATTCATAATAACTTAGAACAACTATTAAAACGGTTATATATATCTACATATTCATTATTTCTTATAATTACTTGTATATTCTGTTTGTTTATGCCCCCTAATTTATAGTTCTAAAAAATTAATGAATAATGTACCTAAACAATTTATAAGGAACTTATACTCATTATAATAACGTTTTATTAAATAGTTATATGGTATTCTAATAAAATTAAAAAATATAAAAATTTTATGTAATATATTTAAATATTAATATAACATATTACATTAATGTTCATTTACTCAAGAAATAATCATACAATCCCATTGTTGCGAAAAAAAATTATTCATAATTTAGTTATAATAATTATGAATTTTCAAATGTCAATATATTTAGTTTTCAAATAAACTTTATATATTCTCGTTTTAATGTCATTACAAATATAATTTTATCTAAAATACTATTGATAATATAATGAATATACTTTTTACATAATGTTATAATGGTTCATCCTATTATGTAGTTTTTCAATATATATTTAAATAATATAACAGAGTTATTTTTCTTATATTCAGGAATATTTATAATTATTATTTTATAAAATTTAATGAAATCATATATATCATAAATATTTTAATAAAATCTCTTAAAAATAGTAAATAAAATAAATCATATCTGTAAATATTAGGCAATTTCTAGAATGTATAGAGGCGCATAAATTAGGAACTAAAGTTTTCATATTAATAAAACTCATAAAAATATGATTAATGTAAAGCAGATATAATTAATATTTTTTTTATAAAATATTATGAAATAATAGATAATATTATTAACATGAGTATAAAAGTATGTGCATACTATATATTAAATATAACTTGTGATTATATAATATGAATACATTTTTTAATCAAATATATATGTTAATGCTATCAAATGTGATAGGTTTTTAAAATATTTGAATTTGTTTGACATAAAGAAAATAGAAATACTCATATTTTGTATTATTAATTAATATTATTATTGAATTTTATACATAATATTTATATAGAATATATTAATACATTATAAATGGATAATAACAACATAATTATTATTAAAAAAACAAAAATAATTAAATTATATATTGTAACATGTTTTTTTATAAATAGAAGAATTATGAACATTGACATATTCACACTAAATTAAAATGTAGATACCATTTTCTTAAAAGATTAATACAAATAGAAATATAATATCATAATAAATAAGATGAATTTCTAAAAGTTATATTTAATAAAAACACTCTTACGCAATTAATTATTCTAATTACAAATATGTATAGTCTATAATATATTTTCTACAAAAAATTGAAAATGATTAAAGATAATAATGCATATCAGACATTATAGATAACAGTAATTATATATTAAATTTTTTATGATATAAAATTAATAAACATTAATACGCATAATAATGTATAGAAATATGTGTTTTTTTTATGCTAAAAATTTAATATAATTCATCAATTATATTCAAAAGTAAAAATTATTGATAGCAAATTACTAAACGTATTTTAAACAAAATTAAGGAAAATAGACTTAGGTATGCAATTTAATGTTATTAAATATAAAAATACAAAAAAAATACTATATAATAACAAATATAACGACTTCTAATATATATGTACTATTCAAAGTAAGATGCTTTTATTCGGAATAAAGCACGCATATTATTTATGTAAATGAGCCAATCTAGTTTAGATATAATTATTAATAACACAAAAAAATGTATTGTATTTAATAAGTTACAATTTTAAGCGTGTACACACCATTAAAATATTTAACATCCAAAAATAAAGGTGATAACATTTCTTATCTATAATGTATTAGACAACTGTTATTTTTTTTAATATTTTAATATTTTTTTTTAGGAAATATTTATGATATAAATCATTTAATTACAAGAAAAATAATAAAACACATGTAAAAAGATATACAATTACATAAAAAATTTTAATATAATTTCTACAAGAATAATAATATTCACTTTATTATATGTATCTCTTTGTGCTTTTTAATCTTTTATATTTTACAACTTTTATGATAATATAAATAACTGCTGCTAAATAAATAGCAAGTATTGCAACGAATGGTATAGCATATAAATTGTCAATAGAACTCATACTCGAAATCCCATTAGAACCAAATCTTGGAAGTGCTCCAAAAAATATATAAATTATTGCTCCGACTAAAACAATACCGGGAAATAAAAAACCACATACGCACTTCATTCTAAAAGAGCTTCTTTTTGAATTTTTATTCATAATATTATCGTGTTCTTTATGCTTATATAATTTTTCAAGGTGACTAAATATTTTTTTTTCAAAGTAATTATCAATACATTTTAATTTTTTATATTTTGTTGTTGCTTCATTTAAGCCTTTTTTATCACAAAGAAGGCTACTTTTTGCATATTTTTCTATTTCCTTATTTGTTGTTATATTTTTTGAGTTATTTTTTAACGTTATTTCTTCCTTATTACATGATAAAGATACATTTAAGTTTTTGTTATGATGAGAATTTCCATTTTTACTACATCGTTCATCTTTTATATTTAGTGGATTATTTCCTTCCTCATTTTTTAACCCCATATTTTCCTTATTATAAGATAATGTTCCTTTTAATCCTCTGTTATTATGAGGATTGTCATTTGTTCTACATCCATCAACTTTTTTATTTAATGGCATATATTCTGCCTCATTCATGAACTTCATATTTCCATTATGGTAAGATAGAAATGCTTTTAATCCATTGTTATTAAGAGGAATACCATTTTTTCTACACACTTCATTTGTTTTATTCATTGGTATATTTTCTGATTTATTTTTTAAGTTTGTATGTTCCTTCTGAAGTGATAGAGGTTCTCTTAAGTCTTTATTTTCACGTTTTTTTGGAAAATCATTTTTTGCTAATGATCGTTCATTTCGTATATATAACATTTTTCTATTATTGCATGTATTATCCAATGATGTCTCAAATGTACTCTGAATAAATAAAATATAATATTATTATTCATAAAATAAGTTCAGATGAAACATATAGAGATTTTAAATATAAGCCATATCATAAATAAATATTCGAATATTATTACATATTATTTGGTACACTTTTGTTAAGATATAGACATGGCCATGTTAGTAGAATAAATATTAGAATTCTTGTAAAAATTACAGTCTCCTTATTTCCTTCCATGTTGAAATTACTTAATAGAACCATGATAAAAAAGACTTAAAAAAACTAATTTTCTAGACAAGAGTAAAAAGAGAAAATTACAATATAATTTATGCGTGTATTTCATGCATAATATTATATTTAAAAATAGTTCTAATGGTATCAATATTGATAAATTAAAAAATTTATATATTCACTTTAAAATATAACAGTAATATGCATTAAATAAATTTTTATACATGTTAATTTTAAATAAGATATTTTTAATATGATTCACTGATCTAAATTCACAGACTATAATAGTTTCAAATAAAAAATAAAACTAGAAGAACAATTTACATGTTAAAATATATATGCAAAAAAATATTAAGTATAATTATATATATTTTTTAAACCACTTATTGATTATTATTTACAGTATAATGACAAACAATACTAATTTATGGATACTTATATAAATGTATATATTTCATCCATAATAACTTCATGTTGTTACACTGCTTTATAAATATTAACCAATAAAAGTCACAATATTCATTGCAATTAATTTCAAAAATGATAGGCGAAAATAATCATAAATACATCTAAATAAATATATTTGGATTAATTATATATTTCACATATATAAATTACAAAAATTAGAAAATTATAACTGCTCTCATATATAATTTTACTATAGCTTATTGATCTATTTATTTATGAACACATAAAAAGTAGACAACACTCCTCAATTGTCTAAATCAATGAAACAAATTATAACAACGATAACGAATTATTTAATATATACATTATAAAATTTTAAGGATAGAGATCCCTAAAAGATTTGAATAATATTCTTACTTTTAAAACATTTTATATTAATGCTTCATAATTTAAGGTTCTTCCTTTAATGCTAATTGTTTTTATCTTAGTTTTAGCCTCTATAATAGGAAGCTTATGATCTATTCTTGAGATTTATGTTTGTGCTTTTTTTTTTTTTTTTTTGTATTTGTTTTTCTTTTTTGAAATATATTTTTATTATAGCGTTGGATGTTTGGATTTTATTTTCTGCTTTCTATATTAGATATTTTAAATTTT